TGCAGTTATTATCTTCAATGAACCTTTCTTTCCCCCTCCCCCTCCCCCTCCCCCTCTGCCACTTACCAGCTGCACGCAGTATCAACCATCATAAAGATGAAATTCCCATTGGAACGGCAAAACAGGGTGTCAATTTATAAACATCATAAGTGACGTTCATCACAATTCAAAGTTGTAAGTCAATGTAGAGCTGGTGAGAGAACAGCTAAAGAGGCTGGCTATCTGTAAATCAGCAGGACCAGATGAACTCCATCTGAGAGTGCTGAACGACCTAGCTGAAGTCATCACAGGACCGCTGGTGAACCTCTTTGAGAATTCATGGTTCTTAGGAGAGTTCCCAGAAGACTGGAAGAGGGCCAATGTTATACCCATCTTCAAGGAGAAGAGAGAGGACCCAGGGAACTGCAGGCCAATTAGTCTGACCTCAGTCCTCGAAAAATATCTCAAGGAGTCCATATCCAATAAGCTAGTAGAGGGCAAAATTCTGAACGACAGCCAGTATGGTTTTGTCATGGGTATGTCATGTCTGACTAGCCTCATCTCCTTTCATGACCAAGTTACTCACCACCTGGATAAGGGAGATGAGGTTGATGTCATTTACTTGAGCTTTAGGATGGACTTTAACTTGGTGCCCCATGAAGCTATCAAGGTAAAACTAGGGAACTATGGGCTCAACAATTCAACAGTCAGATGGGTGGGAAACTGACTGAAGTTGGACTCAGAGAGTACTAATAGATGGGTCTGTGTTGGCCTAGTGGAAGGTAGCCAGTGGGGTACCCCAGGGTTTGGTACTTGGACCAGTGCTTTTCAACATCTTCATCAATGATCTGGATGTAAGAGTGAAAAGCACACTGGCCAAGTCTGCCAATGACACTAAGCTGCACAGAAGTGTGGCCACACATCAGGGTAGGCTGATGATCCAGGTGGACCTAGACAGATTAGTTAGATGGGTGGACCAGAACCAGGTGCTATTCAACACTAAGAAGTGTAAAGTGTTCCATCTGGGAAGGAAAAATCCTCAACAAACTTACAGGTTCAGTGGTACTACACTAGCTAACACCATGTCCAAAAGGGACCTGGGGGTCATAATTGACCATAAAATGAATATGAGCCACCAGTGTGATGATGCAGTTAGCAAAGCAAACAATACAATGGCATGCATCAACCATCTCAAGCAAAAATAAGGAAGTTATTCTCCCACTCTACTAAGCATTGGTGGGGCTGTAGCTGGAGTATTGCATCCAGGTCTGGGCACCACACTTCAAGAAGGATGTAGAGAAGCTTGAGAGAGTCTAGAGAAGAACCATTTGTATGATTAGAGGCCTGATGAGCAAGCCATATGAGGAAAGGTTGACAGATATGGGACTGTTCAGCCTAGGAAAGAGAAGATTTGGGGTGGATTTGGTGGCAGCTTACAAATATATCAGGGGTGAGACTAGTCAAACAAGAATTCACCAAAGCACCCAAGGGGAAAACTAGGAGCATTGGTCATAAACTCCTAGAAGAAGGTTTCAGACTGGATATAAGGAAAAACTTCTTCACAGTTCATGTGACCAGACTCTGGCATAGACCCCAGATCTATTGGGTCATATAAACATTATACGGGGCTGGTGAAGGCACCTACCCTGGAGATCTTCAAAAAGAGACTGGACACACATCTTGCTGTGGTTATTTGACCCCAACAGTCTTTCCTGCCCAGAGCAGCGGGGCTGGACCCAGTGATCTCACAAAGTCCCTTCTAACCCTAAACTTCTGTGAATCTGTGAATTTCCAGAAGTACAAGACAATCAACTTATGATGCCCAATGGTTTCTTTATTCTAGTTAAGGTCCTCAGGTAAGTTACAATATCTTAAAATAATTCAACATCACAATTTAGTTATGCATTGTTTCCTTTTAGCCTAACAGAGAAAAATAAGATCTCTCTCTCCAACATACAATAGAAGACCAAATATTTAAACACATTCTGTGCTAAATTTGTTCTTTTCATCACTATCCCTTTTTGTTCCCATAGGTACTGTAATTTGAAAAAAATATTTTCTCCAGTACCACAACCAAGAAATAAATTTAACACTCTTTTAGTTGATGAACAACCTATGCAGGTACAGTTTTTTCCATTTGCATGGCATTTGCTGAATCTATCACATCATGGAAGTAATGGCAGAGTTTTCAATTCATAAACATCAGGGTAGCTAGTCATTAATTCTTGTTTACTACTTTGCTGTGGTATGTACTGATAAACCAATTATCTTCAGCCACAAATTAAAGGTGGAGTTAAGATTTTAGGTAGACAGGTAACTTTTTGCCAGTTCTCCCAAGCTAACTGTTATGTCTCAGGATAAAACAGACATCACCTGATGTATCATTTGTGCCACCATAATTTTTATGGTGGCACAAATGCTGAGCATATAGACATGACTACCCTTTTTGTGACACATCAGAAATGAGACAAAAGGTTCTAATAAATTATGCTACTGCCTGCACTCTCTCACCACCCCAAGCAAGTGCTCTGGGGGCTTGAGGGGCCCAGTCTTGTGCACCCAAGGCAGGATCTGGCCCCAGATCCAGCCCTTGCCTGCATTTTGGTAACCTCTCTTTCTACCTTTAAAGAAACTCAGAATGATGGAACAATCAACACTTGTAATCTGTGGATACTGACTGCGTAGTACAAGGAATCCAACTTTTATAAATCTAAACATGAGACAAGGGCAAAAATATAAAGAACAGTATTTAGCCAAGACTTCTGTGCTGTATTTTCATTATATTCTTATTCTACAGCAGGGGTAGGCAACGTTTTTTGGCTGGAGTGCCAAAAAACCTCACAATGCCTACCTTGGAAGGTGCCGGAGTGCCAGCATGCGAGAAAAAAACAAAATGAGGGCAGGGGGTACATGACAGGATGCCCTGCTTGTACCCCTTGCCCCCCAGCCCTGCTGCCCCGGCCCCCCAACCCAGGTTCTGTGGCTGTCAGCAGCTACCCAGAACCTGGGCCAGTTGCAAACATCTGCTGCCTCTCTGTCCCGGCCCTGGGCCCAGCTGGCTCCTAGCCCCAGACTTGGCCCAGGGCTCCAGGAAGGCAGGACATACTGGCAATGCTCCCCGCTGTGCTGCCCTCGCTGCTTCTGCAAAGCAGCTTTGGAATCTGGCATGGCAGGGCACAGCAGGGGGCACAGAAAGCTGCTTGGTCTGAGCTCTCTGCTGCCCTGCCACACTTCTCCTGTATGCATGGAAGCAGTGTGGGCAGCAGCGCTGGGTTGTGCCCCTCGCTGCTGCCCCTGCCTGCAGGGGAAGTGTGGCAGAGGAGCTCAGAGCAGACAGCCCCCCACTGTGTCCTGCTGTGCCAGGTTCCAACACTGCTTTGCAAAAGTAGTGAGGGCAACACAGCGGGAAGCACTGCCAGTATGTGCTGTCTCCCCAGAAGCTGGGGCTGGGGCTGGGAGACAGCTGAGGCCAGGGTGGAGAGGCAGCAGATGTTTGCAGCTGGCCCAGATTCTGGGTAGCTCCTGACAGCCACAGTGCCCAGGCTGCTTGCAGCAGGACTTCCATGGGAGCAGTCTGGGCTCTGTGGCTATTAGCAGCTACCTGGAGCCGGGGCCAGCTGCAGCCAGGAGGCTACAAACAGCTGCTACCCTCCCGCCCTGGCCCTAGCTAACCTCCCACCCCGGCAATGGGGGTTTGGTCTCAGATCAGCTAAACTTTCTTGGGCTAGGCACTTGTAGAGTGGGAGAAGGTGAACAGGCCACACTTGACAGTGGCACTGGAAAGAGCCCCCGGGAATAATATAGACATGCCCTGGATTAAAGCTGTAGTGTAGCAACCACATAGTTTCACTCTGCCTACAATCGACTATAGTAACCAAGTGTGAAAAATCAGGAAACATAATTTTGCAAGCTGAAATAACTTTTTCCCCTATCTCTGAGAGCTTCTGGGGAAGTTATGCATGCAAAGTGATACTTTTATTTTTACTCAACTGGACATGAGTAGTTGATGTTATGCCCTGTTCTTTCACATGGCAATTGTGTGGGGATTCGAGATTGGGTTTAAGATAGATGATGCGAATGTACTGTCTTTTGGAAATATCTTTTATATTGCAAAGCATGTAATGTTGATTTTTGCCTTTGGGGGACTATAATACTAAGGTACCTGTAGTAGCTTTCTATTTAAGGGTTACACTCTGATTTACAAGATATACATGGCTAAAGAAAAAAATGGTGAAGTACCACTAATCATTAATCAAATCGGTTGGGATTACAAAAGTTAAATCTGTAGCTACTCTCAGGTATGAACTTAATGCTTTTCTTTTTCTGGTTTCAACAGAAAGAATATGTGGATACAGAAATCAAATATGAAAGTGAAGAAATAGAAATAACTGCTGTCGAAGAAACAGCATTGCCTCCCAAAGAAAAAGGAAGCATTTAGATTCCCTAATCAAACACTAGCATAAACCTTTGTGACCCTAGGATATTTTGTATGACTTTTCACACATTCTCCTTAGTTTTCACATGGATGGTAGCACTGAGTACTGTACTGATTCAGCTAAAATTTTCCGTTTGGGATTTCTACCTCAATGTGAATATCCCCTCTATATTTCAATAACAAATTTTCAGTAACTAATTGGTATGTCTTTAGGGGAAAAGATATGTTGTTCTGCATACTTAAAAAAGAATCCTGTCAAAATATCAGAATCAGGCACCTAAATTCCACCTAGGACCTGCTTTAGGGCATGAAAGTCCTTTATTGGACCTTTTCCTAAGTGACTGTTACAGAACCAGCTGTATGTCCTTCCACCAGAGAGAGTCTCTCTAAGTGCACCCTCTCAGGAGTCAGGCCTTGTGCTTTTACGTCCTAGGCCAGGATCTGGCTACCATTTTCTGGATATCAACCATTTTTAGTTGTGGCCCTTTTTTAATAACTTCAGAAAAATTATATTAAAAAAGGTTGATTTTGAAGCCTTTCTTTTGAATAACTCAAGAGACAGGGAATGCCAGAATAAAAATTCCCGATTTCCCTTTAACTTGCCTTCCATGTGTGCCTCTTTCCACTCCTAGTCTAGATGCTACTCACTGAATGGGTAGCTATTCAGTATTTTATTTAAGCCTCATTATTCCACATGTCCTTGTAGCTCTGTGCCTTCCAAGCATTAATGAACTCATCTGCACAAAAACTCTTGAGAAGCAGGCATAAAGTATTGTCATTTTTTTTACAGATGAGAAATTGAAAGAAATGAAAGTGGAGCAGCTAAAATTGTTGACTACCTGCAGCTTGAGTGCCTAGCTCAATGGTCTTCAACCTTTTTGAGATTCAAGGCACTCCTCAGAAAATGGCCACTCTTAGCTGCCACTCATTTTTGTTGCAAAAAATTCAGACAGAACACAAGAGATCAGCATGTTTTTAACACTGTGAATTCCTATTTGAAATCTCTATGTTTATCTTGTGAAATAGGTTTGCATACCTAAAAGTGCTTACATTGCGTGGCACCTTGCAGCACACCTAGAAGGATCTCAGGACACCCTAAGGGGCCATCACACGCTGGCTGAGAATCACTGGCCTAGCCTGAGATATCTAGGGTCCAGTTGTACTACATACGTCTGCACTCCCTTTGTACAATTAAAACTGGGTTAGCACATACATGGTTCATATAAAAAAGTGGCTCAATAGGTACAGTTGGAATGTTCATGATTAAAATTTAAAACATAAATGAAAGGGAGAAAGATAGCATTTATATCATTTAAAGGCTAGCTTTAAAAATTGCCTAATATCTTAATTTTAAAGAATATTTTGTTTTTTATAGTCTTTCAGGTATTTCATATGATTCAAAATACAAATCATATCCCTCTTATGGCCTTTAGCCTATCTCTTATATGTTCCATTATAAAAATAATGCTGGGGTTTGTTTTCCACTTTTTTAACTCATTTTTAGTGTGAATCTCTGGACATCTTGGGCATCTATACATATGCTTTGGAGTGGAG